TGCGGGCGCCGCTCTGGCGTAAACGCATTCGTTCACTTGCGCTGCACCCTGGTACGACTTGAGCAAGCCCACATAAAGCACCGGATGGATGCGCATCCGTTTCGGAATGTTTAGCGTTTACGCAAGGCCACGCTTGGCCGCAACCTTGAAAGGTCTGATAAATCGGAGCTTTGTCTTAAAGACATCGACCGTCGGTCTGCGGATGGTCCGCTGTTCACATATCCAGCTTGGTGCCCAGCACCTTGAAGATCGTCGACAGAAACTCTCCAGTAAAGCGCGAGTCTTTGTCAGAGACAAAAGACTCCGGGAGTCCATGATGTCGAAAGACACGATCGACAAACAGCGTTGCTGCACCAGACCGTCGATGGTGTCCGGCACCACCGCAAGATGAACCATCCTGCTCAAAGGTCAACGAAGACCACCACAATGGTGTTGCTCGCCGAGGGCTTCGACAGGCCAAACACAAAGTCCAGACTCATGGAATGCCAACACCCGGAGGGTATCGACAAACTAGCCAGCGGCGCCGCCGCATTCTGAAAGAATTTCACCCTTTGACACGTCACACACACGCGCACATAGGTGCTCGTCCATTTGTACAGCTTGCGCCACCAGTAATGGCAACTCACAGAGCTGTAGGTCTTTTCACGACCAAGATGACTACTGAGTGGAGTGTCGTGGGTCTCATAGAGGATACGGTTCTTCATATCCTCATCATGAGGAACCATAATTCGTGGCGGAACCGTAGAGGTGCTATAATACAGGAATCCATTATTTAATGAATATCGATGCAGCCGTGCACGCAGTCGCGACGACAATTTCTGGTCCGAATCATCAAACTCCTTGCTCCCAAGAGCGGGTAGCAGCTCTATTCACAAATCATCACCCACATACGCGGCGCACATCAAATCCATCACGAACGACGTCATTGTCGTGACAAGAGCATGCTCATAATCTGGTCTGCGTGACAATGCATCAGCCAAAGCATTCTGCTTTTCTGATTTATACTTTACCTTGTAGTTAATTTCTGCGAAAGAAGGAGATTCATTTGGTCAACCTCTGGAAGAGGTGAGGCGACTGTGTCGCAGTGCGTAGTGACGCATGATCTGTGTAGATCACGAACGGCTTGAAGCCAATCAAGGGAGCCCTAAAATTGACAAGTGCATATTTCATCGCAAGTAATTCCTGGTCGCAAACTCGGTGGTTCTTTCCTGCAGCCTGAAGCTAGTGAGATTCGAATGCCATCACCCGATCTCGCCCCTTAGCGTTTGCTTGCAGCAGTGCACAGCCGATGGCAAAGTCTGAGGCGTCACAGACGATATTCAAAGGACGAACAGGGTCTGGCACATAATCTGGTCTGTGTGACAATGCATCAGCCAAAGCATTCTGCTTTTCTGATTTATACTTTACCTCGTAGTTAATTTCTGCGAAAGAAGGAGATTCATTTGGTCAACCTCTGGAAGAGGTGAGGCGACTGTGTCGCAGTGCGTAGTGACGCATGATCTGTGTAGATCACGAACGGCTTGAAGCCAATCAAGGGAGCCCTAAAATTGACAAGTGCATATTTCATCGCAAGTAATTCCTGGTCGCAAACTCGGTGGTTCTTTCCTGCAGCCTGAAGCTAGTGAGATTCGAATGCCATCACCCGATCTCGCCCCTTAGCGTTTGCTTGCAACAGTGCACAGCCGATGGCAAAGTCTGAGGCGTCACGGACGATATTCAAAGGACGAACAGGGTCTGGCAACGCCAGTGATGTAGCATGAAAGGGGCTGTCTTCGACCCCGTCAAAAGCCCCCCGATGATCGGTGTTCTAACACCAATCCTTATCCTTCTCAAGGAGAGGACAATGGTCTCGTTTTTCTTGTGCAATAAGTTGACGAGGCCCAGCAGCTTGCGCAAGTCATTTTGGTTCTTTGGCAACGGTCAGTCCACAATGGCTTTGATCTTAGCGGAATCCACCCGATGGCCACGCTTCATGATGAAGCACCCAGAAAAGGAATTTCGCCCGCGGCAACAATGCACTTGTCTGCATTAGTATACAGCTTATTCGTACGCATGCCCTCGAGCACCGCTCTTAAATAGACGATGTGGTTCCCTTCATCTGCCCTCCCGCGCCCCGCACGACTGTGGACGAAGATGTCGTCGAAGTATGTATGTACATTCGCCCGATGGGGCCTAAGCA